TCATATAAAAGCATGCCGGTGGCTTTGGAGCGACAGGTTTTATTTGTATGAACGGGTTAGTTGGCTTTCAATCTTTGCTTGTACACACAATGAAATAATAAATTTGTGTGTAAGTATCTACTGAATGAAAAAATTAAGGTTGAAAAATAGAATAATTCAATTATTTTGAGAAATATTGCAAATTCTCAAAACGACGAAACTCTTTACACAATTATTTAATGATGTTATTTATATTATTAAATTGATTATATTATTGTTATTGAAAAAGTAAATTACTAATACTGTATAGTAATTAGGTTACTACTGAGTACAGAATGGGTGCGTTAATAGCTAAAAAGTCCTCAACATTATTAAAGACCAGTTGTAAAAAAAATACAACACCAAATCCTGTCTTCTAAATGTGAACCATTAAAGAATATTAATTTCAATTTGAAATTAACGTAACTCTCATTATGATATATAGTTTATAATAAGATGACAAATGCATTTATAATTTATGTTATTATATAAGTTCACTATTTAGCCTACTGTCCGTGACTTCGTCTACTAACCGTAATAAATTATAGACATAAACCCTACTCTAGAATCATTCTAATCTCCTAAAAAACGCTTCAAACTCTGTCACGCAATAAACATAAAAGCATACATAACCACAGACAGCGGGAATCGACATTGTTTTAAAAAAACGTTACCCCATGCTAGGATTGTCTCCTGCGTCGTGGGTGCGTTTACAAACATACAAATTCATACACAAGCCACCCAAACCCAAAACAACTTAGTAGTGATAGTGACAGTGAAGTAAATTATATTGAATGAACTATACTGTTGACGTACAACAGATTAGAATTCCGCAATAATATTTTGAAAGCAATCCAAACAGCTATAACTGATAAAATAATAATAATTGTCTCTCCTAACTTGTATCATCATCATCATCATCATCATCAGCTTATAAGTGCCCACTGCTGAGCAAAGGCCTCTTCTCACACGGAAAAGGTCAGAGCATTAATCACCACGCTTGCTCAATGCGGGTTGGCGATTTCAATCTTGTAATTAGAAATTATAAGTCCAGGTTTCCTCACGATGTTTACCTTCACCGTATGTCAGTGGTGTCTAAATAATCATAGAAAGTACATATAACTCGGAAAAAGTCACATTGGTACTTGCCAGGTTTCGAACCCTCATGCACGAAAAGCGGGCTCCTTAACCTTCGGGCAAAGAACAAAAGGAAATGTTATCTGTTTACTGAAGGAAAAACTCTTCATACTACATAAGTACTGTGTAAAGTTGATGATCACGTCTTTATGTTTGTAAACAACGCAGGTTAGTGAACGGCAGTGCTGCATGTAATCAAACTAACTCAACAAAGAAACCGACTGTGCTACTTACTAGGTATTTAGTAATGAATGTTCTACTGTTTATTCTGTTTTAGTCAACATTGTTTTAACTATTAAACTTCTTTCCTTCTTTCTATTAAGGGCAGATTTTTTTTGATGCTGTCGCGTCAGAATCTTTGTATAAGACAGTGACAGCAACAATTTTATTCCTCAGATAACATTTATCTGACTATTCGAAAATCAGCCCTTCATATATTAGTTTAACTAGATGTAGACTAATGTATGTACTTTCTTAGATCATTTAAACACTACAAGTTCTGACAAATAGACGGAAACTATCGTGAGGAAACTTAAAATCGTTAAAAGTTTAAAATTCGCTAATCCACCTTGATAAAAATGGAGTTCTTGGTAAGGAGAGAAAGATTCTTCAAAACCGGTTATAAGGATACAGCGTTAAAAAAATTAAGGAAACAAAACTAAATTTAGGTCAGCCCAACACAAGTATTTTAATTACTGCTGCAGTCTAAATTATATTTTTATATTTATTTGTGATAATCTATACATATAATAAATCTGTAGAAAAGTAATTTTTGTACATTGAAAAAATTGACAAAAAAAATAGCCAGCGTGTTAAAGGATAACTAACCGAACCCATTTTCGTAATTTTTGTCTGTTTGTCTGTTTGTCTGTTTGTCTGTTTGTCTGTTTGTCTGTTTGTCTGTTTATATGTTTGTTTGTGCGCGCATCACGTAAAATCTACGAATTCAATGCAGACAATGCTTATATACAAAAAATCTACACAACTTGAGGTATAACTTAGTTTTTGTTTCATCGAAATCGGTTCACTCTATCAGAAGATATGATTAATTTAGTGAGTTCAAGAAGTAAAACAACACACATTTCCGTATAGTACTTGCAACGACACCTTAAGACAAAAAACAGAACTAATGTTAATAGTTGATATCTTTATTCGATAGATGGCGTTGTGCAAATACGTCATTTTCTGTATAAGATTAATTATGACATTATTGCGAGGATTTTGTATTTGAAACTAAAAGTTTTGATTAATCTACTTACAAAGGAGAAAGTTTTCGGTTCAACTCTGTGTTTTATGTATAGCGTCGAGTGGCAAAAGCGTGGTTTACCCCATGCGCACATTCTTTTGTGGCTGGAAGAAAAAAATCGTCCCGACGCTATAGACAGTGTCATAAGAGCAGAATTTCCAGACCATAGCACAGATCCGATTTAACATGACATAATACGAGACAAACCACCTTGCTCGCATTTTTTCGCCTTTGCGAAAGAGACAATTTCGCCAAGTCTCTGTTGTACAATGAAGTGCCACATTATTATACTTACAACAAGCAGCAAGGTGTTTTTAAACGCAGGTGGCGTGGAACTGCTGTAGATGGTGAGCCCGGCATTTTTAAAGAACACGTGTTTGGAAGAGTATACACGGTGCACCCAAATAATGCAGAGTGTTATTATTTACGCCTTCTTCTTCGGACACTGGGCAGTTGTGGCAAAAATATAAAGACGCGTTTGCCGAAGATTTTTTCAGACAGGAAAATAGTAACTTCTGACCAAGTACGGGAAAACTGCCATAATAAGTCTTTGCTAGCTATACAAGATAAAGTTATAAGTATAAGAGGGAACCTTCTCAGTCAATACGGCTTGCCAACGCCGACAGCTGGTGGGGAACCAATAAATAGGGAGTGTGCATCGGAAAATTTATTTCCGATCCAAGCCTGAGGAGTTAGCAGAAATAGGGCTAAATGGCTGGCTGTTCAAATACGACGTCAGAACAGAACAGAGTATGCTGTAGTGTAGAAAATTCTTTAGGAGAAATATTGTTTTTAGATGCACCTGGTGGAACTGGTAAAACTTTCCTCACCAAAGTTATCTTGGCTCAAATAAGGAGCCAAAACAAAATTGCCCTTGCGGTGGCCTCCTCAGGAATTGCAGCCACTTTATTACCAGGAGGAAAAACTGCAAATAAAACATTTAAAATACCAATCGACTTTGAGCGCACATAAAACCCTGTTTGCAACATCTCTCGCAATAGTGATAAAGTTATGGAAGCTGTAGATAGAAAGATATAAGACAAAATTACCGACCGATGGGCTTAATGGTGCTATTCTGTGGAGACTTTAGGTAGACACTCCCTATAATACCCAGAGGAACGAGGGCCGATGACAAAATAGGTGCATGTTTAAAGAGCTCTTTTTTATAGCGTAGTATCATATCATCCAATTTGAGCTTTATTCTGTGAGCATATTTGGGAGGTGACGCAAACGCGCAGGTCTTCTCAAATTTACTACTTCAAATTGGTAATGATACATACACGACTCAAAAAGGTGGTAAAGTAACTTTAGTCGAGAGCCTGTGTTCTTCTGTTGCCTCACAGCAAGAACTCATTTCTTCTGTATACGGAGATCCATCAGAGATCTCGAACCATGACGCTGCTTGGCTGTGCCCACGAGCTACTTTGGCACCTCGCAATGACCAAGCAGCAGCAATCAATTCTCAAATATTGGTACATGTTTCTGGAGAAAGTAGGGAATATTCATCTATTAACACGGTTTTGGAAGAAGGAGATGGCACCCACTATCCAGTAGAGTTTTTAGACTCTCTAATGAAACCAGGTGTTCCAGCACACAAAATTTATTGTGGTTAAAGTAAAAGTTGGTACTCCACCAATCATTCTACTCAGAAATTTAAGTCCTCCAAAAGTTTGTAATGGTACACGGCTGAGAGTAACAAGTCTCCAACGCAATAAATGTGCAATTCCCTGTAAGGGTCTGTTACCCCATGACCTTACTTTTGATTGTTTTTCACACTGCGGACTCTATGTTTTTTTTTATGTAATAAGTCGGCAAACGAGCAGACGGATTACCTGATGGTAAGCAACCAACGCCGCCCATGGACACCCGCAACGGAGGAGTTACGAGTGCGTTGCCGACCTTAGGGATTAGGGATTTGGAGATTTAGGGATTGCGGAAGGGTCCGGGAAGGGAAAGGATTGGGCCTCCGGTAACCTCACTCACACGGCTATGTTTCTCTATCAAGTGTTAGCAACCCAAACAACCTTTTTGTATATGCTCCGGGTAATTCCACCGCTAATATAGTATATAGGGAAGCATTAACGTAATCAGCTACACCGGAGGAAACGCCCGAGTGTCGTCATTGTGAGGACCACCTAGAGGATACGGTGGAGCATACAGTAGCGGTATGCCCTGCCTGGGCTGAGCACCGCCGTATCCTCAGGGAAGTGATCGGCGGCGGCGACCTCTCGCGCCCGGCCTTAGTCGAGGCCATGGTGCGGAGTGAGAGGAACTGGAACGCCGTCTCCTCATTTTGGGAAGCAGTCATGCTCGCAAAGAGAGAGGCGGCCCGCGTGAGGGAGCAATCTTCCTCCTCACGCCCCAGCCGCCGCAACTGGCGACACTACGGGCGTCGGGGATCGAGGGACGATCTCCGGCCACCGTAAGCACGGGTCTGCGGTCGGCGAGTAAGGGTAGCTCGCCGCCCGACCAGAACCAGGCCCGAGCGTACGGCGCGTAGCGTTCCGCGCGCGCCTCAAAGAGCCAATAGACCACCACAGACGGGGCCCTAAAGGGCCTGATGTTCAGCCGGGGTTGCGGGGTAAGCGCAATGAGGCACCGCGACCTCGGCCCAGAGCAGGAGAAGGAACAGGGGGGTTTTTAGTCAGTAAGAGTCTGACACTCCCTCCCGCCCGGCCCTGGGCGGGACAAGTCATTTGATGATTTTCCCCTCACAAAAAAAAAGAAAACGTAATCAGCTATACCAATATTACTAAATAAATATATACTACAGTCAGGATCTTAAATAGCAAAAACAAAATCTTTCTTGAATGGAGTTTATATGTGTATAGCTTACTGTTATCTAAACGATGTTGTTTTGTTTTCGACAACCACGCGAACGAAGTCGCGGGCACAGCTAGTTTGGATCATAAAGATTCTTTTATTAAAAAATATTAACATGTTGCTTACATACCTTAAGTGGAGCAACTTTTAAAGACTTTCCATTACTTTAAAGCAGGTATTAATGTGGTAACAAATTAATGGAAGACACCCAATTGTTTTGGCTTGGTCAACTACTTACTTAATGGCCGTAGTTACAACAGGGTTATAAATCTATTTGTTTATAAACAACGCAGGTTAATGAACGGTAGACATTATGTTCATGTTACCAAGAACAATCGTTTAAGTATTCAATCTACATACATATGTACATAGGTAGGTATATAGCAGCTATCCTATTGTCTAACAAGTAGTAAAATAAATATTGCTTGGTAATAGGTTATTGTTTGTATGACGCTTTATTTTCTCTTAAATTATCTTAAAGTCTATAAAGAATAAAATTCATTCTAGTGATGTTATGGACAGAATCGATTTGGATATCATAATGACCAATCAAATCATACTTAGAGAGTCTGGACTCAAATTGGTTGCGTCGCCATTATACTTTATATTATTATGTATCTAGTACCTATAGATACAACAAAATTAAAATAACTTAAAATAAAAATTATAATAAAATAATCTTTCGATATTTTACAAACACATTTCTTTAAACAAGGAAATGTACCTAGTTGTAATAAAAATACATTTCGTAAAGCACAGAAAGCTTTACATGTTATTGAAATTGTACCTATACTAAGTAATTACTAAAACATGTAAATAAAACCTGCCAGTTGAAAAGGTTGCTGTTCTATAAACAAAAATTTGAATATCTAAAATAATATAAATATCATTTCAATCAATTCCAATACAGACAGTCTGTCATAAAAATCTGGTAATAAAACCAATAATAAGTATTCAATTCGGAATTCTAAATTGTCAGCGTTTTAATCGGACATTCGTTATCACTACCTGGCAACAATTTAATTACTGGCCATAATCATATTTATCACAATAATGTAGATGTGTGTTATCAACACGTCAGAACAGACCCTCACAGTGACTTGTGTTGTTAGTGGTCTTTGTCCTGGAGTGTTCAAGCAATATCTTGAATGAAACAGACCTTTAGATATCTTTGCTATTGTGAAATATGAGTAATTAGTGTAGCGACACGGGTAGCTACTTATCAAAGAAAATAAAATTTTCAAGTACCTACCAGTTTTTGTTTTGTTTAAAATTTATTTTAATAACTTATTTACCTACTATCGAATGTCATTTACTATCCAGTGGGTTAGCTCGACTGGAGTGAAACAGCCCCATCGTTGTTTCGCCACCATCATCGACAAAACACATCACCAACAGAAAGAAAAGATGTGAAACCCACACGGTTACTTACCATATTAATCATTACAACCCTTAAGATTAAATCAATCATTATTTGTCCATGGTAAAAAAGGTAATGAAATCAACCTAAAAATATTGGTCACCACAGCAGATAAACATACTATTAGCTGTACAACGTTCATAGCTCCCCAGTAGATCTCGTCAATGTTCGATATTAAAAAAAAACTCAAGGCAAACTTTAGGCCAAGACAACGCTACTTAAATTAACAAAAGAATGATGTGTTAAAAGCTCTAACTGTTTAATCAAGTGTTTATCGTTATCACAGTAGTTTCTGACTGCAGCTGAAGCACACCTGTGTGATCAAAATTATCAACTAGGCTGTAAAAACACATGTTATCGTAATAAAATTACTTTTGCTATCACATTTGTCCCGGCAAAAGGAAAACTGAATTTAACTTACAACTATTTATTGAAACATACGCTTCAAACAAATATATTGAACTGCTTTTGTTGGCATAATTATATATATGTATGTAGATTATTCTAAATGAACATTGCTATACGCATTGAAATATTTATTGCATATCTATCTACTACAGAGACTAACAAAAAACAGACATCTCATTCCACCTAAAGTGAAGACAAATCTCAAAATGAATGTTATCTTGAAAATGTATTCTAAAAAACCTAACAAGTTGTGCAATATTTGCTAATAACCAGTTGTCATTTTAACCTCTAAAATTGTAAATGATTTCTAGATTCATAATAAGGTTTCCAGCACTGATACAAATATGAAGCTAGAAAGTTTCCTCTATACTTCAAATTCTTGTAACCTTTTATTGTGTATAATGTAGATATCAGAACCTTGTCTTTACATTACTCAAACCTGGAATACTATTTCTGGAATTAATAAGCTGTAGAGGGCAAAATTGTGGGTAATTAATTAAAAATAAAGAAATGTTATTTTCTGATTCACACCATGAGAGTGAGAAAATGTCCATAGGTAAAATAACCATTGCCAGTCCACTAACATGTGTGTGTGTGAGGATATAGACCGACTTTACAAAACTTATTGGCATTCAAAAATTCCAGCATAACAATTATTGTATGGAATGCAACCGATGAGGAAATCTGCCCTCTAAGGGAGACATTTAAATCGATTTCTGATTAAACTTGTACAATTTTCCTTCCAATAAAGTGCATTATAAGAAACTACATTCCGTGTATACCAACACAAAGGAGACATTCTACAGGACACAATTAATGGATGCTTCCTCGTGCTCCAAATTCTTACATTGAGCGGTGACTCAAAGCGTAGGAGATGTGAAGCGACCGGTGGCACTTACATCGTTACCTTTAATGCTACCCTCAGTGGTAATCGGCTTATTGTTGCTGCCATTTTATTATTACGGTACATAGGTCGAGCATGCCAATGCCCAATCTTCGTAGGGCGTGTGGTCTGAGCGCACTACTTAATTGAAATTAACGCATCCTATTGCATGACACAGGGAGGAAATCCTCAGTTCTGAGTTGAAAAGGAACAGCATCGCTTCAATAGAATAATGTTCGAATGCATGTACATTGAACATATTAGTAACATTGACCTGTACGGTTCAAGGCTTAATATTGCTATCTACTACATCGAGAAATGTATTAATGTACAGTAAACTCATTATATTTCTTAACGTTATCATTCACTCCACGTATTTCGGTCGCAAAAAAATTGCCTCCAAATTTGAATGTTTAATTAGGTAAGTATGGAATACCGACTATAACTTAGAAACTACTTACTAAACATAAGATTTTAACTAATATACATATCATTATAATAAGATTACCTAAACTAATTATTCCACCTGCTAGATAGAATTTAACTAAAACCTCTATCTAATGATAAGTGAGTAGATAAAAGATAAAATGTTACCAAGTCTATAGTATGATAAAACAATTGACCGTGTTATTGTTACTATCGTCCATAACAGGGACCTGATATAGTAAACTGTTGAAATATATTGAAGGTGTGTATCCAAGGTCTGGACTAGGTCATTATGATACCTAACTTCGTGTGAACCTTGTATTGAGATAACGTTATCACCAACTAAACTGTGATTCATTTGCAGGTGGTATTGGTTCTTTATTGAAAACTTTTTGACGTCTCGTAGTTTACTTAACTATACTAAAACTAAGAGAAAGATTAGATTCCTTTACAAATGGCGCAGGCCTGGCGCATATCGCCTGTTCAGGGTTTCATTAAATAATAACTACTTAACTAAAATATCATGCGTGGCTTTTCTATTAAAATTGTATGATATAATTATTTATTTATTGTTATTTATACACTTTTACAATCAGCTTTTTCTCTCAGTATTATTTACAATCATAAATATCCTTAGTTTTAATTTCTTCATTGAAAATTATTTTTATTGATATAAAGAAATAATTAACTAGGTGATTGCAGTAGGTGAAACAGCTGGTCAATCATACTATCCACATCAGTTTCACTGTCTTATAACACAAATACAAAACTTATAATTATCCAAAATAACTAATGTCTCAACTCACAATATATTTAACACTTCAATAAATAAGTATACAATTTTATTTAATGTGCTAAACTTATTGCTATATTTTTTTAAATAAAGCCAGTCAAATATTTTAGGTAAAAATATTAAAAACGAAAACTAGTAAAGTTATTGAATACTATGGTTATTGGTTAATATTTTTTCGTTTAGAGTTAGTGCAGGTGTTAAAATGAGTTATCTAAATCCTTGATCTAATCAATGTATGTAATATTTTGATGATAATACAAAAGATTAGAATATGTACAATAAGTATATACATAACAGTATTATTCTAAGAATATGTCGATATTCGTAAAGCTAAACACTAATAATAACAGAAATCACATCAGCACAATATTATTAGCTTAAACCTTGAACATTATGATATCTAATTTTAATTTTATTTCTGTTTCAGAAAGCCAACAAGTGGGAATATCTTCATCAATGGTCGACTGCGCAATGAAAAAAACTTTAGACGGAGATCGTGTTACATTCTACAAGACGACAGAGTACAGGATATGCTCACTATCAAGGAATCACTACACATAGCAGCAGAACTCAAATTAGGAAATCATATTAGCAAACAACAGAAAAAACAACGAGTAAGTGTTTTCATAAAAACTGATACTGTTTTGACTATCTATCTATATATACGTACTAACAAAAGAAAGTCGTGTTAGTCATACTCGTACTATTTATAACTCAAGAAAGCATCAGCCGATTTCGTGGAGAATAAAAATGGTGGCAGAACATAGGATAGGTAGCATAGGGTAAGTAGGATAGAGTAGGAAGGGTAATAATATAAGTAGCCAAATGACGGGAGCAAAGACGCAAGTAAAAGCTAGACCTCAGTTCATTAAAAGATTTGAAGTTTCATCACAGGAAAACGGCCCTATTATTTCATGTACTCAAATTAGTTCCAGATTCCATGGCATTGCGATTTACAAATTGGAAAACCTAATAACGTTAAGTTTTAGTAAACGAATCTCGAAGACCAAACTTAAACTCTGGACTCAAATAATGTAATCGAACAAAGAGACCTTCAAATACATAAACAGGATTAATCGATGTTATAAACTGATTCCATCATAATATTTTTAATCTTTTAAGGCCGAATATTATTAAAATGATCTCTACTTGTTGTAATATCTGTCATATAACACATGAACTTATGTATATATGGACTGCGATACAATCACAAGGTCTCGATCTTGATAAAGTATTACAAGAAATTTAAATAAACAATGTGATATCCTTTATGTACAGTTACACCCCGCATAATAATTCAAGCTATTTAAAAATATTTATTTTAAATCTCTGGGTTATACGTTTTCACACTCGTATTTATTTTTATTTTATTTTTTGTTCCAGATACATGAAATAATCACATCACTTGGTTTAAGTAATTCCAAACACACAAGAGCTGGACTTTTGTCTGGTGGACAGAAGAAAAGGCTGGCAATAGGTTTGGAATTAATCAGTGACCCACCGGTTATGTTCCTAGACGAACCAACAAGGTAAATAAACCAACATACTTAAACATTTTCTAAATATTTATTTGGCTAGGAGAAAATTGATAAGTATCTGTTCTTTAAATGGCCTTGATAACTAAAGAACGTAGCAATTGACGCCCGTTGAATGTACAACCAATAAAACCGACCCACCACATCCTTTTCTCAGAGGTCAAAGTGGAATAAGATGAAGATATACTCAGCCATACGATATATTTGGATCAATCACTCACTGAATATTTCGCAGACTGACATGTTTGCAGTAATAGCCATTTTTGGGTCAATAAAACATCAATTATATTTAGTAACAGGCAACATCCTGCTTCTATTTTTACTGCACAGCTATATTAGTCTGACTATAATACTAGTTATTTTTGTCTGACGACTGTATTAGTCTGACTATAATACTATTTTTTTTCTGACACCTGTCTGTTTCTCCAACACGATACTGTCGCATGAAACACTAAAAAGCCACGCTTGCTTAGGTAATATTAGAACAGCGTTATCTAAAACAAATCAGAAGGATTAGTGAAGGAATTAAATATTCAAGATAACGACGCACGTTATTTAGACAGTTATTAAGTAAATATTTTTTTCCTATTTGAATAATATTGTCAGGGAGAAAATAGTGTGTATTAAAATCACAGTGTTTATCTTACTTAACGCACGAAATTGCATTTATAAACCAAACTGTGTTGGTGTTAGAATTTATTAATGTGACACAGCGTATTCCTATCTACATAATTTAAAAGAGCAATGTAATCAAACACTTCTAATTTCATATAATCTTACGATTCCTTCTGAGGTATCAATTGATATTTTAATGATAATTAATACTTTTCTAGATAAAAAGGTGACACTAAAAATATTGTAAGATAATCCAATAAATGACATTAAAATTATTTACCTACAACCTGTCTGGTGATTGTTACAATGTAACTCTACCAACCAATGAGAAAGTACAATATTATTAAAAAAAAAATGAGGTATTTTTAAATGCGATTATTGATTGATAATTTTTATCGCAATATGTCATAAAGAAATTAAAAACTTCATGTCAGTTTCAAGCCAATTAAAGATGAAGATGATATCAATTTGAGTCGATATTTCGGTTAATAATAAACGTCGTAACTTTTGCTAGACAGATTTTTTACTTTCTTTTTGAAATATATTGAATTGTAGGATACTGTGGGCATGTATACAAACTCTATACCTATATTACAATACTACAAAACATTTTTTGATTTGACTTGAATTTATAGGTATCCTTATCAAATAATATCACCTCAGGTGTAAAAAAGTCCTTAAAACAAGGATCAAAAAGTTCAACTTGTATGTATCTTCTTTCCAGTGGGCTGGATAGTTCAATATCGAAGCAAATAGTATATTTACTTCACCTTTTAGCGCGGCAAGGGCGGACGGTGGTGGTGACCATGCACCAGCCGTCCGCCGCTCTCTTGAGCATGGTGGACCGGCTGTACGCCGTGGTGGCAGGCCGCTGTGCCTACGTCGGCTCCGTACCCCAGCTCCTGCCTTATCTAGAGCATATGAACTTAATGTGCCCACCCTATCATAACCCTGTGGACTTTTGTAAGTATAACTCTTGAAAATTAACTTTCTGCTTTTCTTTACATCTACCTACATTCAGACTACGTTTAAATTAATTCGAATTGTAACTAACTTCAGACTGGTATTTTCTTTGCAAATATTCAATAGAAATTGTATAACTGTTTGAATATTTAATAACATAGCAACACCGCATTACGTACATAAATGCACGAGATTATGTTTATCTATTTTGAATATTTATGTGCCGTCCATTTTTATTTCACGTCCTGGGACTAATGGCCACTTTTTGATCGGTTCAGATGATTCAATATTACATCCTGACCGGAATGAAAATTTACTGAATAAACAATTATATTATTGTTATGAAGCTTTTATCGTTAGTCATGACGTATGCAATATATTTATGCCTATTTTATTTAACGTTGCCACACACTTGTATTTTATTCTGTCGTTTACAAACATACAAATTCTTATACACATCACACCGAGACCGAGAGGTATCTTACTATTAGTTACAATTTGTTCAATCAAATACTAGATCAATCAATCATTTATTTTTCTGAAAAACATTAATAATAAATTTTCTCTTTTCAGTAATCGAAATATGTGTAGAGAATGCGAGTGATTTAGTAGAAAGTTCTGGAAATGGGAGGAACAATAGATGGACTGCAAACAGCATATCTCATGAGACTGATAGTAATTTAATAGGTATGTATTATGCATATCACTTATTATAAACATCACGGATTGAAAAATGAGTTTTATCCATTTCATCGTTAAGTTGATAGCTTGAAGTATCAAGTAAAAGATAATATCGTATGCAAACCGCGTTATATCCTTGAACCAATAAGTCGCACGTCGACGCCGCTAGATATGGACTTCATTTAAAACTAACTGAATTAATCATAAAATCATCATTATTAATGAAACGTCACTTTAAGCGACACGTTTTACGAGTTTTAATTGCATGTCTTAATAGTCTAAGACTTTGATTGCAATCAGAAATAGCAATAAGTATGATGATTTCACATCTCAAGAATAGAATTCTATAGGGAAATTGCTTGTCAAGCTACCTATCTTTGATTCTAATTCCAGTTTACAATAAAATATATATAATTTTATTATAATCATATAAACCAAGGAATCCTTAATAATGTCCAATGTTTTCTTTACAGAAATATCTAGTCTAAGTGCCTGTAAAGAGGTTTGCCTGACGACGCTGCCGGCTCCTAAAGAAGATCCAACGAGTAAAATACTATTAGCACTGAAGAGCACATACAACACGTCGTTTATCAAACAATTTGCCACACTCACTCGGAGGTCACTTTTGGTAAATATAAGCTTTATATAGATTAAAAGTAACTAAACAGAAACATCAATTATATTTCATTTTAATAAAATATAAATGATAGTGGTTTTCATATTAATGGGGTCTACAAAATAGGCTACTGTACGAGTAACTGTTACTAAGATTATAATTTTACATCCCGAATGAAAACTAGAATTTCATCAACCGGCATTCTAACGCATGATTATAAAATCGAAGCTAACAATATAATTAGTGTGAAATGATACGCTTCAAATGTACCTACATACCTACATTCATATAAACACTATCATATATTTCACATCTGTGTTTAAATGTAATTTGTTTAACGGCACTTTGACGTGTGTAGTATTATATTTCATGTTTGCCCATATCTATGTTAAGAGTTTTATAAACCCTGCCCCAAATCTACAGGCAGTTCCTTTCATACTTACAAAAAACCTTGGCTTTGTATTGTGCCAGTTTAAGAAAAAATAAAAAGAATTTTAAATCGCCTTGTATGAATCATACGCGTCTAAATTCACGTCAAATTATTGAGACTGGCCTTAAGTAATGTGTCGGTACTTATCTTACAGACGATATGGAGGGACCCTTCGTTCACCCTAATGACGACGGGCATACACTGCGCGATGGCACTCTTCATAGGGTTCCTATTCTACAACATCGGACACGACGCCAAACACGTGCGGGACAACTACAACTTCCTGTACTTCAGCCTCATGTTTCTCATGTTCACCGCTTTCAGTGGTGTCACTATTAGCTGTAAGTATATTACCTATAGTAATTTATACTAAGTTCTTCATTTATACTCCATACACACCACGAATCCCCCGACCATATCCATATTACTTATGTTCATAAACAAGTGTTAATATGACCACATTAAAATATGAAGCAAACTAAAACGCAAAAAGTTAAACTGATCGTAAAAGTTACACAGTAGTTGCGTGGGTGAACTTGAAAGTAATTGAGCAACTGCATCTGACTCAGAACGCATTGCGAGGCCAGAGGAAGCCCCAAATTAATAATATAATCAACAGTTACAAGATCAAATGTTTATGTTTACAAATGAAATTCTTAGCTCCCTGAATACTTTGTACAAAATAATCTCTGGCACTAATCCAAAAATCTCGTAGTATGATTTTCTACAAGATTTTAAACATATCAAAAAAAAACAATACGGATGAGTAATTCAAAAGATATACAATGTCTATTTATTTATGAACAAAACATCACGAAATTTTCCGAACACACATAATATATTTTGAACAACAATACCGTTGAACAAGTCAAAAACAACAAAATAACAGATTCAAATTTTTCGCTTACAGTTCCCGAACAAATCCCAGTGATTCGGCGGGAGCATTTCAACAGGTGGTACACGACGGGTGCCTACTACACTTCGACTATAGCATCGACGTTGCCAACGCAGACAGTGTGCACATTGTCTTACGCGTTCATTGTGTACTGGCTCACCGGACAACCCACGGAACTACCACGGTTCGCTGGCTTCTGCTTAATATTGCTCTTAGTCTCCTACGTCGGGCTCTGTAAAGGACTGCTCATCGGATCCTTGTTTAATGTAAAGGTTTGTATCAACATTAATTTAATTTGCATTAACGAAGACTAATTAAAAGTGTCACCTTTGCCTACTTTTATGCCTATATAATATAATAATAAATAACATAAAAAATGGTCGCGAGCAATAGTTCATACGTGCGGGTTGATGATGTCAAATTAATTAACTATTCGTTCAATTACGCTAAAAGGTAGGTCACAAAATTTTATATAATACTTGCTAACGAAAACGAACTTATAATTCACCAATTCTTTCTTTCCAGAATGGAGTGGTATTCGGGCCTTTCTTTATAATGCCGTTCACCGTGTTTTCCGGGTTCTTCCTCCGATATTACGATGCGCCGTTCTTCGTGCGTTGGCTGTTCCAGGCATCTTTCCTCAAACATGGTCTTGTAGGCCTCGTACTATCCATCTACGGTATGGACAGACCTAAACTTGTGTGTTCAGAATTGTACTGCCATTACGCATACCCCAATCTATTCCTTCAAGACAACTATATTGTTGGTGAAAAGTTCTCAATGCTTATACTTGCATTGTTCTCTATTGGGATTATTGTATCTGTATTAGCTTTTATTATTTTAAAAATAAGATTAAAGAGCAAATGGTAAGATTTAGGGGTTGAAAATGTATTGCGTTAATGAAAGTGAGACGGGATGTAAAAATCTCGTTATCTTAATACATAAGTATGACAACGTAACTAGTCTGTTTGAAAAGCGAGCCATAGAATGCGCAGGGTGCGTGTGTGTAGTGCCAGCATTATTAATTATGATATTTTTAATAAAACTACATCGAAATAAATTATCAAGCAACATATATGCCAGCTTCAGTTCAATTATACCTAGGCATATTTTGTCACACAAATATTGTAACAAACTCGAGCAAAATACTAACTTTAAATTATGTGTGACAAAATTCATTTTGGATACAAAATAAGTGGCAATTTAAAATATGCTAGACATTCCAATGTAAGTGTAAATATTGTATATTTTAAGGGTCAGCAGTAACCATTACCATAGATTATAATATTATTACAAGCTCAAAGTGTTTACATTATAATTTAAAACATGTGTACAAGTATGTAAGTCAGTACCAATTGTAAAAAAATACATCAATATGTACTATTATAATTGTTATAATAAAAAAATATTTCAATAAATACTTGTAATTAATTCATAAATTAGAATAAAAAAGTTATATAACAATAAAAATGTATAAAGTAGATCAGAGAGTTGCAGTAAACGCATGAATTCCTTAGTATCAGGGGGCGGGTTGATCAGAGCTTCCCGAAATATAAAAACACGTTGTTTGTAATTCAATTAATCGTTATTATAATAAAACTACCCTGATTACTAATGAAGTCACGTGCGTACCGTAAAGTTTGTTTATTTAATACCAAAGATTACAAATATCATTATAGACACGCCGGTTCTAAATACACAAATTATTGACATATCTGAGAAATAGACAGATGAATTAATAAATAAAAAATAAGGTTTTAAAACCTTTCTATCCCAAGGGAAAATTAAGAGGAACGTTGATCGATGAACAATTTTAATAATTCTAGATTTCCAAAAAAAAAAATATCGTTAAGTTATGAGATGTTCGGATTCCTCAAGGTAACATTTTGGGCCCAACCCTTTTGGTCCGTGCTATAAGATTCAAATTAAACTCGATTTTAAAGATGTTATAATTTGTTTTAGTGTTTTCCTTCAAAAACTAAAGAAAATTAATATTAAAAGTACCTACTATAAGTGAACGATCAGACTATGACTATAACTATGACGAAATAACTATAATAAACATTATAAGAGAATTGGTGTTTGGTTATTATTTTGATATGTGTTAACAACTCAATTTGAAACTTCTACGTCTATTTTTAAAATAACTTCTTTAATTGGAACAAAATGATTCACAAAATTAATATTAATGTAAGTACAAAATTTTTTATACATATTATTTATATTGCAAAGAGATTTTATTACTTATTAATATAGGTACTACGTATAATTCTTGGCTGAATGAAAAATTGCCTTGAATTATTAATTAAAGGGAACCTAGAGCAGCAATACATTAAAATTAAAACATTTTAAATGTTTTTTTTATAAAACGTCGAAGAAATGAAAGCATATTTGAAATTATTTCTAAAACATTTTATTTCCTATTCTTCCATTGTTAATAAATATATTTTGCAAATTTCGACTATATTTTGTTTTATTTTCATATCCGGTAATCAAACTATTTTGACATTTTTTAAGATAATGTGACTTTTTATTACGTTTATAGCACCGTCGACAGGTATTACGAAAGTACATGAAATAGGAAGGGAATAGATGAATAAAAAAACAAGTTTATAAAAAAAGGGTTTGAGAAAAATATTTCTTTTTTAAATTTTTAGAATACATGGCGAACTAATAAATTTGAACAATACAAGTACATATTTTTATTCATTGTTAATATTCATATTCATTTAAATTTCATACTTTCAAATAAATATAAATGTAGAGGCCGTAGGAATAAATTTAAGCTACATTAAATAATCAAGTTTAATCTTTCAAGTTATTAATTTTTAACGATATCTCCAGTTAATCAGAAATGGTGATATAAAAAATGTAAACAGGCTTTACCCACTGGGGGATACACATCATTTATTGCATTGTGTGGAATTTACGATTAAAAACCTGTATCAGCACCGAGAGCTATTATCTAAATAAATTAAAATCTTATGGAAACAACCATCAACTCAAACAAGTCAATATTGAAATTTGTTTTGTGAATATCGTAAAAAGGCTTGGAAGTATTTGATCCTAAGCTTAACAATATCTAAGTATATTTAATTTATCGGCAATAATTATCGCAGGACATTCAAATTATAATAAGCTAAGATAAGTAACAGTGGTAATTATTGTGTATCTAGTGATAAATAATATAATTATAATATGAAGATAAACATGGCAGTAGTCGAGGTACCAGGGCTTCGTGCAGTTGTACTAGTGTGTTATTGCGAACTGTGTCTCGGAGGGGAAATCTCGCAGTCTTGTGAGTCTTGTGACCGGCGAGCGCCTGCATCGCTCCAATTTTCCAATTCCACATAATACGTGATAATCGTCTGCATCCGTCCCGCTTCTTGACACTTTAAACTAAGATAATAACATTTACTGATGCTAAGATGGACGTGGAAGCTGTGCGTGATGATATAAGTATCGAAGATGGAAGTTTTATTGTTTACACGAATATTTTCTACACGGTTAAACAATCAAGTAAGTGAGCCCTTAATTCTTTTTCATAAATCATAAAGAAAATCGAGATTTGTAATTCAAATTCAAACTGCATGTCGGCTTAAAGTTGTTGAGTTGGGTACACTATTGCCTACGATGAAAAGTGTGTGAAGGTAATCAAGTATTCGTTCCGTTCGCATGCATTACGCATTGCAAACGACAGTCCTGCAGGTAAAATACTCCTAGAACTAAAACTGCATCAATGATAGATGAACATACATATTACAAATATGTTAAATGTATGTTTATTGACAATAATATTGCTCATACTCGCACTTTGTACCTACGCAACAATTTATACCATAGTTATCAATGAAAATTGCATCATTTTCTAAATAAAATCGATAAATAAATAATTAAAATAGTTTATGAGATTATGTACTTAATTTCTTAACATTTGTTGTAATCTTAATCAAATCTAAAATATAGTACAATCATGGTTTTAGAATAAAGAATTGGCAACTTTAATCGAATTTAATTCTCGGTAGTGTGGTTACTTCTAGTTAGCTTACGAGGTATATTATTACGAGTGTAAACTTCTTGACCTTATGTTCATTTATGAATGTTTCCATATTATTTTATTTATAGTTTGTACTTACTGTTATTTAGCTTTATATTCCTTTTTTTATTTTCATTTGAAATTTAATATTGTATTGCCAAACAAGCCAATAATGCTGTGCGAAGCATGCAAGCGGGTATCCACCTTTTTTTCCGGATGCCATTTTCCGATTTTGCCCTCTATTTTGCTATTTTCTTTCATCATAAGTTTGCTATTTTTTGGCAATAACAAAACCAACCACTAATGAATTAGTAAAATTTGTCCAGTTGATATTAAGTTACCAACACTTTTTGGGCTAAATTTATATTAATTACATTTCCTGTATAACTAATAGCTTTCCTGCATACATGTAACTAATTATTATGATATGTTAATTATTTTTAGTACCTAATACGTTTATCCGTTTGACCGTCCCGTTTGAAAAGGTTATCCTCAAATGGACACGTAATCAAAATAAACACAAATAAATATTTTACCAACATATAAACAACAAATTTCTTATCTAGCCTTTGTAGTCAACAAAGAGTTTGCTATCGTAATTAAATAAACACAAAAACAACTTTCACTGTCCAAAGATATCTTTTTGATAAAGTTATTAACAACATTGTTCTCCGCGCAGATGCACTGAGCGTGACCCCGTTCCCAAGTTATGGACTTGTTGTCAATACATTATATATTTTTCTATTCTATTCTCCCATTGATTGAGAACACAAAACTAAATTAACTTTTTTCTTAACACTGTTTATACCGTTGGCGTTAATATTAGCAATTCTGAAACCTTATTTGGTCTTGTTTAACTCCCTACGTCAAGAAGCTTGAATGGCCTTGGATCCTATACTAGACGTTGCTCGAGTCGCATCGGAGACTTGAGATTTGTTGAGCTTTTCTTGCATTGCACCTGTGTGTAAAGTTTTGTTCAATGATTTACTCGGAAAAATATTACTATATTGTTGTTTTGACAGATTTCATAATTAAATTTGTCAATTCTTCTAGTAGAGATAAAGTTAGTCAATAAATAGGGTTCATATCATATACTATATGTAGTGAACCACAAACCTAGTAGATAGTTATATTTGTCCCAACCTTATCAACGTATTAGATAATACTGCAATATTTAGCTAACATTTATCATAATAGCTGGGAAGTGCAGTTGTAAATTTATTTCTTCATTTCAATTTTGGCAGTAACTTTAGATCTTTCTTTCTTCTTATCTTTCAATTTTAGATGACTGTGTGTTTCACTATCCTTTTTGGTAATCTTAAGCGGACTTAAAGTCAGTTAACGTAAGTAAATAATATACATATATTATATGATTCACTTTTATTTTATTTTTATCTAAGTATATTTCATTTTTTTAGTTTAGGTAAGCGAAGGCTTAGGTATGTATACCTATAGATTATTATATAGAGATTAAGTAAATTTCACAACACATCGTCATCATCCACCCTATTACAATACTATAATGCTAGCTGCTGAGCTAAGATGGGAGAAAAGGTCTCACCTAGAAAAAATATAAGCATTAATTATCACGATAGCTCCAAGAGGATTGGTTTGTTTCAACTTAGAAATAAGAAATTATGTTTAAGTCTCCGTGCAATGTTTTCGCCATATTATGTCTTAATAATTTTAGAAACTATATTTTACTTGGTAAAAGTCACATTAGTAGTGGCCAGGTTTCGAAGTTGTTTTATTTCAAGTGTGAGAGGACAATGCTTCGGTACAAATGGGTCGGCTCGACCGGAGTGATACTAGGCCTTACAGAAAACCGGCGTGAAACAACCACAGATTTGTTTTTCGCCGTGTGAGTGAGATCACCGGAAGCGCAACCCTTTCTCCAAATCCCTAATCCGAAACGCACTCATAACTCCTCTGTTGTTGTGAATATTCGGTGTGGCGCTTCTTTGTCGTCCTTTGATAAATAAAAGCAACTGTAAAATGATTTGATCGTTAAATTAAAAACCTGATTTATTACCCACGTGACACAGCTCCAAATAAAACAAGAATAAAACCGACATTAAAAATCTGTTGCTACACGTCAATATTAAAATAAAGAAAATAAATAATAATATAATTAAGGTAACGACCTTGCCTACAAAGTTTTTGAAATAAAAAAATATGAAAACTCGTTCCGTAATTATAATTTATATATGCGAAATAATAATCATAAATTGTACTTAAATTAAATTTAAAATCACGTGTATTAGGATAATTACAAATTAATTCATGAATTTGGTCGTGCCGTTGTTAAAGCGAAATATTATCATTGACGAGTCAGATTTTTTGAACAGATTTTTTCTCAGTCAGTTCACGAAAGCCTTTGTTTTAAAAAAAAGTAATTTAAAGATATTCAAAACAGACATTATGTTTTTGTTTGTTGTTAATATGCCTAATGGGGAAATTGAAAATCCATTTAATATTTTACATATAAAAGAAAACAATATCCAATAAAAAGCCTGTATCTTTAAATTCTTTTTATTGGATATCGGTTTCTTTTTCTAATTACAAAATCGTGACGTCACACAATATTTTAAATTAGTTTATCGTAGAAAGTATTTGATTCCGTAAAAAAAGATAAAATTCGCGACTCGTGTTTTAATAAAATTTATAAGACAGGCAAAAAGACAGAACAATCTTATCCTTTTGAAAAAATATTTAGCATAAGTCACAAAAAATACATACATATTAGAAACTGGACGCTTAATCCACCAAACCCCATTCGGGGTCAATTTACCACGATTCAAAAGTCTATTTTTCAATCAATTAAAGAGCCGGTTAGCTGATAACCTTTTAGGATTTAAAGTAAGATTAAGTCTACTTTTAAATTTTGGTTAATTCCACCTCTTAAAATTTTATGAACAAAAGAGAAAAACCGAAAAAAAGAAGAATATCTTTATCTATGGCGCCAATTAAACCTGAACTGCAAGCTCTTATAAATTTTAATGAAACCTCAAAATTTCTGGTTTACAACTTGACTCGATGATTGTCTTAAAAAGGCATTAATTTTTTATGTCAATAATTATAATGTTGCATGATTGTATACCAACCAAACTATTTATCGTTTTAAATTGCAACATTTCTATAATGTTTTATGTTATTATTAGACAGTATTGAGTTTTTTATTATTCTTAAACTTAAAAAGACATTTAGAAAAGTTGTGATTGTAACCAAAAAATAACCTGTAACAGGTGTTCCAGCGTAAAAAATATTAACGGGGTTATGAGGACGTGGCTATATCGGGGAGGTTTTAATTTCTAAGAATGGGATTCTGGTTTTCCTTACATTCCTTACCTAATATTTCTTCGGTAAAGGCTAGGCGCCTTTCGGTGACCCCGTCATCAAAGGAGCTGTGAAATGCGAGTCGGATTCTCCCAAAAAGAATGTAGCCGCAACTAAAATAATAGCTAGATACATATTAAATTTCTTGACGTTCGTTGTAACTTAAAATAATAAGTATTTTTTAAAATTTGAGTTGATTGAATTAAAAGCATAACTATGTACTATGTATTAAAAAAACTACGTACATCGTACATCAAAAATTTTTGCATTTTCGTTATAGAAGAATCCTTAAAGGGTACAAATTAATGTAATTCAACATATATACGAAACAAAATTTAAAAAAAAATTAACAGTTTACGGAAGTATCTTGTTTACTGGTCGGCCTTGGCATATTTAAAATGAACTGTTTCTATAATTTCGAACTTACTATATATAAACTTTAATAACACTCCTTTTTTGGGTCAGTCGTGTAAAGAGGAAGTGTTTTTAAGGCAGGCAAGCTATCTGTATTGCACAATCTCGAAGGTTTTAGGTCATATTGTATAACATTACAAAAGTACCAAAGTACCTATGTATATAGGTATATATACCTACGGAGGGTATGATTATATATACAATCAACTATAGTAAAGTAAACATAAACTGTGGGGTCAAAATAACTTAGAGAAAATTGTTGAAAAATTAACATTTGAGATAAAATTTCCGATTCTGAAAGTTTAAATCACATTCTTCTCTATTGATTTTACTCAATAACCAATTAAATTACTATCACTATATATAACACAGTCTAACAAGATAATTTGACGAGTTTGAAGAGAACCCTCTCTACAAGTGTATGCGTCGTAAACGGTATGTTGACTACCGGCCAGTCTCATAAGCGCTTGCGCACAAATCGCACGCAAGTCAAATCAATGTCGTGTTCCAAATAAACCGTTCACTTTTCGAAATAATTCTTAAATCTAAAATGGATGTTGAACTTGGTAACTGCAATGAAATTAAAAATAAATGTGACGTGTCAGTATTTGTGGATTTACAATACAGGATTTCTAATGGTAATTATTTTTTATCTGTTGTTATGTATGATAAGTGAAAGTTTTCTTTTCGCGGCAACACAGGTTGTTGATGATGCTCAGCAGCGTCCATCTTA